CATACTTGCCTTGATCTCCGTCTTAGGGAGCAAAACATCTAATCTTTCACCATTAAGTATAATGTTAACTGTAGGATTTTTTTGTTGATTTTGTGTCTTGTTTTGTTTTGTTTTGTTTTGCAGATGTTATTTAAGTTGAGGAAGTCCCCTACTATTTCCAGCTTTCTGAAAGTTTTCACCAAGAATGGGTTTTGAATTGAATTGCATTGTCAAATGCTTTTTTCTATGTCAATTGATATGATCAGGTTTTTCTTCTTCAGTCTGTATGATAGATTACACTGATTGATTTTCAGATACCTGGAATACTATCCCTGGAACAAACCCAACTTAGTAATGGTGAATAATTATTTTTATATATTACTGAATTCTATTTGGTAATGTTTTGTTAAGGATTCGTACACCTATATTCATGAGGAATATTAGTCTATAGTTACCTTTTTTTTTCCTAACTGTTCTTTGGTTTTGGTATCAAAAGAATACTCCTTTCATAAAATGAATTGGGAAGTGCTCCTTCCTCTTCTGTATTCTGGAAGAGATTGGGTAGTAGTGGTGTTAACTCTTTTTTAAACATTTGGTAGAATTCTTTTGTGAAGTCTTCTGGACCTGAAGATTTTTTGTGGGGGGGGTTACTTAATAGTACAAATTCAGCTTCCTACTATTATAGGATTATTTAAATTGTCTATTCCTGAGGTGCCTGGGTGGCTCAGTTGGTTAAGTGTCTGCCTTTGGCTCAGGTCGTGATCTCAGGGACCTGGGATCGAGCCCCATGTTGTGCTACCTGCTCAGTGGGGAGCTTGCTTCTCCCTCTCCCTCTGCCGCTCCCCCTGCTTGTGCTCTCTCTCTCAGTCAAATAAATAAATCTTTTAAAATATTGTCTATTCCTTTTTTTAAAATTTATTTGACAGAGAGGCTCCCCTTCTCTGTATTGAAATCTATTTTATACGTTCATATAGCCACTCCTGCTTGCTTCTGACTAATGTTTACGTGGTATATTTTTCTACAGTTTTACTTTCAATCTACTTATATAATTATATTTGAAGTGAGGTTTTTGTAGACAACATATTTTTTCAAAGGTTTTATTTATTTGAGAGAGAGAGAAAAAAGCATGAGTGGGGGAAGGGGCAGAGGGAGAAGGAGAAGCAGACTCCCTGCTCAGCAGGGAACCCAATGCAGGGCTCGATTCTAGGACCCTGGGATCATGACCTGAGCCGAAGGCAGATGCTTAACCAACTGAGCCACTCAGGTGGCCCTAGACAACATATTTTTTAACCCACTCTGCCAATCTCTGTCTTTTAATTAGCATATCTAGGCCATTTACATTTAACATAAGTCCAGCTATCTTAAGGCTTAAGTTCATTTCATTTTTGGTTTTATGTGTTTTTTTCTGTTTTTCATTGTTTTGTTTTCTTTTTCCTTCTGGGTGAGATTACATTTTTATTTCTCTGTAGCATTTTTGAGTGTATATCCTTATGTAGCTATTTTAGTGGTGGATCTAGGTATTACGTATGCATAGCTTATCACAGTCTACTGGTACCATTATTTTACCAGTTTGAATGAAATCTAGAAACTTCTTTTTATGTCCCTTTATACTCTCCCAATTATAATTGTATTATTTCCTCTACATACATTTAGAGCCACATAGACAGTGTTATAAATTTTGCTTCAACCATCAATTTAGAAGGCTTAAGAGGAGAAAGAAGACAATTTTATTTACTATTTTTGATCACCAGGATTTTTTTTCCTTCCTGATAATTCAAGGTTGTTTCTTTTACCATTTCTTTTTGATTGTTTGTTTTTTTTTTTTTGCTTAGAACTTCTTTAGCAATTCTTTAAGGCAAGCCTACTGATGCCACATTTTGTTTTCCTTTATCTGATAATATCTTGATTTTTTTTCATTCCTGTAGGATATTTTCATTGAATAGATTGTAGGTTAGCAGTTATTTTCTTTCAGTATTTGAAAAATGGTGTGCCACTTCCTTCTGTCCTCTGTAATTTCTCATCAGAAATCTTCTGTAATTTGAATTGTTTCCCCTCTGTTAATAAGGTATCATTTTTGTCTCTCTGCCATCAAGTCTTTGTCTTTAGTTTCAGAAATTTGACTGAGTCTTGGTGAGGACTTCTTTGTGTTTATCCTGTTTGGGTTTGCTCAGCTTCTTGAATATTAAGTCTTTTACCAAGTTTGGGAAGTTTTCAGCCATTATTCCTTTGAGTATTTTTTCATCCCTACCTTCTTTTCCCTCTTCTGGGACTCTGATGACATAAATATTTAATCCTCTGTTATAATTCCACGGGTCCCTTGTTTTTGTTTGTTCATTTGGTCTATTTTTGCTTTTTTTTTTAGACTGGGAAATTTCTGTTGTGCTTTCTTCCAGTTTGCTGATTTTTCTTCTGCTTCCTTCATTCTAGAGTTGAACCTGTCGACTGGGATTTTTCAATTTAGATTATTGCATTTTTCAACTTCAAAATTTTCATTTTGTTCTTTTTTTTTAAGATTTTTATTTATTCAACAGAGAGAGATGAGGGAGAGAGAGCACACACAAGCAGGGGGAGTGGCGGGCAGAGTGAGAGGGAGAAGCAGGCTCCCTGCTGAGCAGGACTCTGGGATCATGACCTGAGCCAAAAGCAGACACTTAACCGACTGAGCCACCCAGGCACCCCCATTTTATTCTTTTTTAATCTTCTGTTCTGAGACTTTGTTTTTTGTTTTTGTTCTTGTTTTGTTTTGCTTTAAGCATGTTCATAAATGTTCATCAAAGCATTTTCACAGTGAATGCTTTAAAGTCTTTGTCAGATAATTCAAACATCTCTGTTATTCTGCTGTTGTCATTTATTGTCTTCATTCAATTTGAGATCTTTCTGATTCTTGATATGATAAGTAGTTTTTAATTGAAACTTGAGTATCGTATTATATTATGAAATTCTGGGTTTTATTTAAACTTTCTCTTTTAGCTGATTTTCCCTGATATCATTCCAGCAGGGGAAGGGAGAATTCTGCTTTGTTACTGCCAGGTGGAAACAGAAGTCCGGGTTTGCCTCTTGGCCTTCACTGGCTCCCTGAAGGGGGTGGTGCTGCTCATGACTGCTGGGTGGGAGTGGGAATTCTGACTCCCCACTGGGCCTTCACAGATACCTCCCTGACTGGGAGGGGTGGGAGTGGTTTGTTATGGCTATCCACTTGGCTTGCATTGATGCCATGGCAGAGGATGGTTTGTTATTACTGGATGGTGGTGAGAGTCCTGACTCCCCACTGTGCCTCCTGTTACACCACCTCCGCAGGGAGGGAGAGGGATGTTTTGTCACCACCAGGTGAGGGTAGATGTGTGGACGGCTCGTAGGGTTTCCACTGTTATGGCCCAGCAGTGACAAATGTCCCAGCTCCATACTTGGACGTCTCTGATGCTACACTGGCCAGGAGGAGGTAGGGAGCATTGAGTGCCTTGTTATATAGCCTGGCAAGTGTAGAAGGCTAGGCTCCCTTCCCAGCGTTTGCTGGTATGGGTGGGGTAGGACAACAGTTTTTTGTTTTGTTTTTTTTGTTTGTTTGTTTTTCCTGTAGCGTTTGGCTCGAGTGAGCAATTATTGTCTATAAACATTTCCTATCTTGCCAGGTTGCTTCTTCCTGATCCTTTGGTTACAGAGACCTGGCTTTTGTTGGGCTTGTTTTGGCTGTCCTCACTGGTATTTCACTTCACAGCTTCTGAAGCTCCACGTGTGGAATATATGAAGCAGAAATCCCCACCACGCCATGCCATTCATCGGGTATGGTGGTACCTAGCCACACTGCCTTCTGTCCACCTTACAAAGTTTTCTTCTTTATTTTTTTTTTTATTATTTTTTTTCTTAAAGATTTTCTTTATTTGACAGAGAGAGAGGGAGAGAGCGAGCACAAGCAGGGGGAGCAGCAGCAAGCAGAGGGAGATGGAGAAGCAGGCTCCCTGCTGAGCAGAGAGCCTGATATGGGGCTCGATCCCAGGACCCTGAGATCATGACCTGAGCTGAAGGCAGATGCTTAACTGACTGAGACACCCAGATGCCGTTCTTGTTTGTTTTATACGTAAGGTGCCAGGGTTTTGTTTTTATTTAGTGAGGGGGAATAGGTGAAATGTATTCACTCCATCCTCCCAGAAGCAGAAGTCCTCTCACACTCTTACTTCAACGTATCATTTGTTCTTCAATATTTCATACATATGTCACAGTTTTTGATAACTCTGGTCATTGAAGTTCTCCAGGCTCTCCGTATGTTGTTTCTTCTTTCTCTGTACCTTTAGTGTTGACAGTTTGTTTTCAGGGGCATTTGCACTTTGGATGTGTGAGCGTGAGAAGGAGAGACTCCCAGAGACACAGAGAACACACCTATGCGAGAGAAATCATTGACTGAACCTTATCTCTGAGATTCTCCAGACAAGAAATTGAGAATGCTTTGCTCCAAAGAAGATTCTCATTCTCCCCGGATGTGATGCAGGGGTTGCTAATTGGTTGGGGCCCCTCCAGCCCGTGTCCAAGTTCTTTCTTGGAACGTGTTCATCTCAGGTTCAAGGCCCCCACTTTCTGGTGGGAGCGCCTAACACTTGGTTGCCATATCTCCGTGGTGGCATTTGCATTTGTCACCAGAACTCAGTGTTTTTTCTTCTTTGCTGTTTATTGATGCCTGCTCAGATTTCTGTTTCTTTTACTTGCTTATTTGGGGGAGGCCATGGGGTATGGGTTGGGGAACATACTTAATTCTGTTATGTAAAAAAAGAATGTCTGGAAAGAAAGAAACGTGTTTGCTGTCCTTCATCCAGGTTCCAGTCTGTAGCAGAAGAGTCTGCAGAGGATCTTGTTTGCCAGAGGATTTACAGTTCCCAGTCAATCCCAGGATTATTTTCTCTTATTAGAAATCTCTGCTGCTCATGTCTGTTTTTCTAGTCTCGCCATGAACAGAGAGAGTGGGAATAAGAATGAGACTCTGTTCCTAATTTTTTTTTTTTTACTGACGTGTTTCTCAATTTTCTCTTTAGGGCAGAAAAGACTGAAGTTCTGAGCGAAGACCTTCTTCAGGTAAGGTCACCAGCCCCTATATACAGACACCAAACATGTCTTCCCATTACAACTTGAGCTGTTTCAACTGCGCAGACCACTCTTGGTGCAATCTCTGTAGATGCAACCTTTTCTCCTTTACAGTCTTTTAATACCAGTTTGCGTAAGAGTTTTCAGGAGACATGGCAGTCATTTGACTGTGGGGTTCACAGAGAGCCCCTGACTCTGCCATTGCCCACCCCCTTCCAGTTCTCCAGCATTGGGTGTTGTCTCCCCAGCAATGCTTGTCTCTGCAGAGCATGGACCAGACTCCCCTCCCACGATCGTCCCGATCAATGGCCCCCACTTCTCCTGACCTTGCCCTTGCGCAGTGACGCGACCCCCCCCACTGCTCTATCTGCAGGTGGAGAAGCGCCTAGAACTGGTGAAGCAAGTTTCCCACAGCACGCACAAGAAGCTCACTGCATGTCTCCAGGGCCAGCAAGGGGCCGAGGCTGACAAGCGTTCTGTAAGTGCCTTCCTACCCCCTGCCCCGCCGGCAGCTTCACCCCTGAAGGACAGGGCACCCACCCTGGAGCCTCGTTTGGTGTGGCTGTGTTGTCTCTCCGGCCATTTCTATGTCTGCGAGTTGTCAGGTGGTGTTTCTGTGGTGCGACAGCCCCTTCGCATCTCTTCCCGCCCTTTAACCTGCGTGAAGCACCCCCCACCCTGAGCAGGCAGCACATGGTCCCTCTCTCTGTTTTTCCTGCATTGGGGCAACCAGGGTGTGCTTGGGAGTCCACTGTTAGGGAAGCTTAAACCTGGGTCTTGTCTCTGCTTTAGCTCGCTCATAGATTCCATTCCGTGTGCTTCCGTGGTACCATAAGATCTCCCGGAAAAAATTACACTGTGGTTTTGGAGGTGACAGGTGACCTATAAAGACCCTGGGAAAAGGATTTCCCCTATAACGAAACAGTTAAAGAGAGCCAAATGAAGGTATCCTAACGTCTTTGTGTGTAACCTATATCAGTACTCACGGGCGGTGCGTATTGTGATTCTGTTGAGCAGTTCTTGCTGTAAACAATCATCATCGCTGGCTCACTTTTCCTCCTGACCTCCTGCCCCGCCCCCAACTCCACCAAAGCTTAAAATATTTACTTAGATGTTCCTTTGGCTTTATGACAAGCGATCTGCAATCTGGGACGTTTTAATCCTCCTTGAGTTTAGAGTCGACATGTTTGGTGTCTGATTGTCTCTCACCTGGAGTTACTGTTGACTTCTGCTTCCCAGTGGTCTCTCTGAGCCCGCCCCCCACCCCCCAGCTCCCGTGGCCTCCTTTCTAATGACAGTCACATGATGTGTCCTGACGCTTCATCCCAGCCCCACGCTGCAGTACAAGATGCCGCACTGCCTGCCCTGTCCATCATTCTGTCTTCTTCCCAGCCCTGGGTGTCGTCTTCTTTTTTTTTTTGAGTATCCATTTTGACTTTTTTATTTATTTTCATTATGTTATGTTAGTCACCATACAGTACATTATTTAGTTTTTGATGTAGTCATCCATGATTCATTGTTTGCACACAATGCCCAGTGCTCATTGCAGTACGTGCCCTCCTTAATACTCATCACTGGGCTCCCCCATTCCCCCACCCCCTTCCCCTCTGAAACACTGTTTCTCAGAGTCCATAGTTTCTCATGGTTTGTCTCCCCCTCTGATTTCCCCCCCTTTATTTTTCCCTTCCTTCTCCTAATGTCCTCCATGCTATTCCTTATGGTCCACCAATAAGTGAAACCATGTGATAATTGACTTTCCTGCTTGACTTATTTCACTTAGCATAATCCCCTCCAGTTTCATCCATGTCGGTGCAAATGGTGGGTATTCATCCTTTCTGATGGCTGAGTAATATTCCGTTGTATATATGGACCACATCTTCTTTATCCATTCGTCTGTTGAAGGAGCCAAGATGCCCTTCAACAGACGAATGGTGTCTTCTTTCTTAATATTCCCAGCAGGAATCTCTTAATGTGTGGTAGAAATGAAACGTTCACGGGTTTGGAAAATGTCTATGGAAGTAATTCTGTGTATATCGGGACTTTCAGCAAGGGGAACCTGAACAGTCTAAAGGGAGAGTCTGGAAAATTGCTTTGGACATGAGACGCATTCATTAAACAAACATCTAAGGTGGGACTCCAGGACGTAGATGTTTTGAGTAGGGGCCTGCTGCCAGGCCTGGCCATGACCCACTTCCTTTCATCTGTTCTAAGAAGTACTGTTTTTAAAATAACTGGTCTATAATACAGAATAGGATCAGAAGTAGCAACTGAATATTATCTCTAGAGGGTTGAAACTGGCCTTTGGTGTTGGCAGGTTGATTACTACAAGTGTTACTTTTTCTGGGATGAGGTAAAATTGCCTAGATGTGTCGGATTTGAATTGAATTGAGGATCTTGCAAACTATATCAGTTAGGAGGCATTTGGCTCCCTATGTGTTCTGAAAGATAGGATATTAATAGAAAATTTAAGATCTGGCGAGGCCAACAGGTCAGGGGATCACTGGCATTGAAAATGTAAATTTGATGGGGGGTGCACCCTGTGTCATGCAGGGCCATGCGGGGAAGCACCAGAGTTACTCAGGATAGAAGGAGGAAAATGTGGGCAAGAGACATGATTGTGCTTTCCCCTGGGAGGAATGGATGAGGCAGGGATAAGCAGGCTTAGTTAGGATTGGCTTGTTTGAGAAACTTCAGCAGGCTCTCATCCCTAGTTGTCTGGTACCTGGCCCTGAGGGGGTTAGGGCAGGTGGACGGTGGCCTGGAGAATGAGAGCCCCATAAAAGAGGTAGTTGGGGTGTAGGCTAGGCTGTGGATTGGTTGGTTTTCATTTGACAGGCACGCTCATGCGTGAATTGTTGACTGTCTCTAAGTATTGGCTAACCCCGGCAGAGGCAGTTCCCCCAGGTTCAGCAAGACACCAGATGTCAAAGCCTCAGAACACAACAAATAGAAGACATAGTTAACACACTAATTAATTGCGACTTCAGCAGAAAGGCACTTACTATATATCACTTCACAAGATGTCTGGAGTAGCGGGTCCCAAGGTGTATTCAACAGCTTTGGGTCAGCAGTTCTGCAATGTTCTGGCTCCTCCCAGTTGTAATGAGGCTGCTGTAGCCCCGGACATCACGTCTTCACGTAACCACATCATAGGCAGAAAGTGTGAGGGTGGGTGGTAAGAGGATGAACTATCTTTGCGTGCTTTTTTTTGTTTGTTTTTATCAGGGAGAAAAAAGTCTTTCCTGGGAGAATTTCTTTTATGTCTCCCTACAAGAGAGGCTGAGGAAGTGAGTATGTGTTGGAGAGAATTGGGTTTGCCTTGACTGGCCGTGAGGCACCTGCTGGGACGCACGTGATCGGGCTTCTGTTGGCAGGGAGGGCATGCAGTGGAATGGTCAGGCCCTGAGGGTTGCAGCCACATTGATACAGTGATCACCATGCAAGCTGGATACCCATGGGGTTGACCTGGAGGAAGTATGTGCTGGAAGTGGGTGCTCAAGTATGTATAGGTCAGTGATTTCCCCACACAGGCTTCGCGTGTTTGATTGGGTCATTGATTTCTTGAGCTGATCAGTCTTTTCGTGTCTTCGTAGGACTGAATATAGGATCCGGCTGAAAAGAAAGTCAGAGAGCTGTTTTAAATATTTAACAGCCACAGACTGGCAGGAGAAAAATGTCCAAGGCCACGACTCAAATACATTTTTCCAGTTTTTTCTAAAGTAACACATCAAAGGATTTAATAGGACACATGACACTTATTAATTGCCTCGGGTACTGAAATATGTACTCGGTTCTTTGAGATTTATTAGGAAAGGAGATGTGTCAAGATCTAAGGAACAGCGAAAAGAAAAAGAGATTAAAAGTGAGAAACTTAAAAAAAAAAATTGAAGGGGGAAAAGTGGGAGTGAGGGAAGCAACGAACAAACACTAAATGGGGAGGTTGGGTGTGAAGAGAGGGTCGAGAGGTTAATACAGAGAAGAAACTGATGGCGGCCAGAGGGGAGGGTGGTGGGGGGGGGACCGGTGACATGGGTGGGAGGGCAGTGGGAGGTACTAGCTTTCAGTTATGGATTGTACAAGTCAACAGGGGTAAAGGCACAGCATAGGGAACATAACGTAATGGTGCCATATGGTGACAGATGGCAGCTATGCTTATGGTGAGCATAGTGTGCGTGTGTATACAGTTGTTCAATCACTGTGTTGTACACCTGAAACTAATGTGACATTGTGTGTCATCTCTACTAAAGTAAAAGGGGGGGGGCGGTCAGGAGATGGTTGTTCTCCGAGGGAATGAGTCCATCTGAAGTGAGCAAGTGGGGTCCTAGCGTCTCAGAATGGGACTATAAGAGTGTCCAGGTAGAGGGGCGCCTGGGTGGCTCGGTCAGTTAAGCGACTGCCTTCAACTCAGGTCATGATCCTGGAGTCCCGGGATCGAGCCCCGCGTTGGGCTTCCCGCCCGGTGGGGAGTCTGCTTCTCCCTCTGCCCCTCCCCCATCTCATGCTCACTCTCTCTCTCTTTCAAGTAAATAAATAAAATCTTAAAAAAAAAAAAAAAAAAAAAAAAAGGAGTATCCAGGCAGTGTTGGGCATTTTATTGGAGCACGTGACATGTTGCTATTTGTCACTTCTTTTTAAACAAGCTCATTAGCCCTTTAGCAGTTGAGTGCAGTTTCCAACACCAAAGCTTTTATCATATGCCTCTAAAGGTTTGGCTCTAAAAACTGGGGCTGGCTGTCAAATGGGAGTGGACAGAGACGTGGAGTTTTGTGGCTGCAACCTGAGTGACTAGAGCAGGGTTATTCGGTGAGCACAGAGTTAAACTGGGTTCCTTATGTGGGATGGAGAATAGAAAGGATACGAATTAGGTTTCTATTTTGCTTCCTTCAGTCCAAGCTGATCGCCAGTTATTTCATCTGTTTTGAAGACCGTCAGCATAAGGAAAATGTTTGGTTTTTCCCTGTCCTTGAATTTCTCGTGGGGAAGTAACATTCAGCAAATACACCATTAGCGGGAGTCCTTCTCTACCTTCCTCACTAAATACTTGGAAAGCGCCATGTCTGCCATGCAACGTGGCGCATCTGCCAAGTGCTGAGCAAACCCAGCAGGATCCCCATCCTCTGGAAGCTCATGGTCTTCCAGGGAAGCAGCTGGTACACGGAGTTATTAGTTCCTCAGCTGAGGTTTCAGGGCGAAGAAGAAGAGCTCACTAGGAATTAAATAGTAGAAGGTGTCTGTGAGGAAGTGGCCTTTAAGGGCAGCAGAAGGTAATGGCAGCCAAAGGGATGAAGCTGCTTCTAGGACGGGGCAACAGCTGCAGAATTTTCAGAGCCAGGAAGGAGTTGGGGGCATCTTTGAGAGACACGAAGGTGGCCAGTGACTAGAGTATGGACAGCGATAGGGAGAGGGGCAGGAGATGGGACCGCGGGGACCCCATCACACCTTAGAGGCCATGGTAAGGATTCAGGGGAGCCAGTGCTT